GCAGTAAGGGCTGTGGAATTCAGCGTGGACCACAGCGAGACATAGATCCTACTTTGCCCAAAGAACCTAGTTCGTTGCGGATTGGAATTCTTATCTCACCTGAACCAAGGTACTCTCAAACCCCTTCTGACCCTAACCCAGTGATGAGATCCCAACAATCTCAACATAGGGGAAGAGATGCGAGCAACCCCAGGGCAGGGAGAAAGCATCAACGAGCACCAGCCCTCCAACACTGAACCCTCTAATGAATTTCATAATATGGAATGTTAGAGGGGCAAATAGTGCAGAGTTTAAGAGGCACTGCTCAGAAATGGTCAAAATGCACAAGCCTATGATATTGGTTCTCCTGGAGACCAAAATGGCAGACCACAAAAAGCTTACTGAGGAGCTTCAATTCGACATGCAGTTCCCTGCTATTGGCCACTCTGGAGTTATAGTGATTATATGGAGGGATAATTCCCTCCAAGTTGATGAGGTAGCTGTCAACTCTCAAGGTATCCATGCCATGGTCAAGGTATTACCCTTAAACTCACCCTGGTTTTTCCTGTAATCTATTCCAGTAACCACATTGAGGATAGAAGAGGCCTATAGGATAGTCTTGTTGATATCTCAAAACACACAAAGGAAGTTGGTTTGTAGGTGGGGACTTCAATGAAGTCCTTAAAACAGAAGACAAATTTGGGGGAAACCCTATAAACACCCACAGAAGCAACTCTTTCTGGAATTGTATTAACAACCGTCAACTTATAGACCTAGGGTTTAAAGGCAGCAAGTATAATTGGTCTAACAAGAGGTACAAAAACAGGACCTATCTAATACTAGAAAGAATTGACAGATATTTTGCTAATAACCATTGGATAAATGAGTACCCTGAAGCAAATATCACTCACCTTCCTAGGAACCAGTCTGATCACTGCCCCATGCTTGTCAATTTAAGCAATAACAGTCCTAGTCCCCTCAATAAACACTTTAGGTTTGAATTTAATGTGGTGTAGCCACCCCATGTTTCAAAACCTAGTTAGGGACTCTTTCAAGCCTGACTCTACTCTAATCTCTTCCACCACCTTGTTCAAGGTAAATGCCCTCAATTGGAATAGGCATACCTTTGGGAACATCTTCCACACAAAAAAAGAGTTGCTAGCAAGGATAGCAGGAATTCAGAAATCCTCCTTCTATCCCACCAACACCCCAATGCAAATCCTTGAAAGAAACCTCATTGAGGAGCTTAACTCCATCTTGAAAAATAAAGAGGACTTTTGGAAGATGAAGTCCAGAATCCAATGGCTCTCAGATGGAGATGCCAACACAAAATTCTTCCATACTTCCACCTTAAATAGAAGAAGAAGGAACAAAATCCTTTCCCTCCAAAATGACTCTGGTCAGTGGATTTTTGAGGATGGGGAGATCAAGCAAGCAATCTCAAAGTTCTTCCAAGAACTCTATACCTCCTCCCTCCCCCAATCTCAGAATGGCTTATCCTCCACTGAAATCCAGGGACATTGCCACTCTCAGATTCAACAAACAACAATTAGGATGCCTATAAGGGATAGTGAAATTAAGAATTCCATTTTCTCCTTTAAGCCTTTCAAAGCTCCTGGGCTAGATGGCCTTCACCCTTTCTTCTATCAAAAATACTGAGACATAGTGGGTAAGGATGTCACCCTTTTTTGCAAAAAATGTTTCTCCACATCAACTATGGACCCAGTCATGAATGAAACACTGCTGTGCCTCACTCCAAAGTGCCCTCAAGCCACAATGATAAAAAATTTCAGACCCATAGGCTTATGTAATACTGTTTATAAGACAGTAACAAAAATCATTGTCAATAGAATCAAGCCTTACGTCCCTCACATCATTGGGCCTAGTCAGACCAGCTTCCTCTCCAACAGCAAAGCTTCAGACAATGCCATCATAGTCCAAGAGTACATCTCCCACTTTGGGAAAATGAGGGGAAAATACTGTAGCATGATCCTAAAGATTGACCTAGAGAAGGCTTTTGACAGACTAGAATGGCCTTTCATTAAGCAAACCCTCCATGCTTTCAAATTTCCAAACACAATCATCAACCTCATCATGTCATGTGTCAGCTCCTTCACCATCTCTTTAATTGTCAATGGAGAGCAAACCACCCCTTTCATGCCCACTAGGGGCATCAGGTAGGGTGACCCCCTTTCCCCTACCTGTTTATAATGTGTATGGAAAGACTTTCAAGAGACATTGACAATAATGTCCTCCAAGGGGAATGGCACCCAATCAGCATTGGCAGAATTGGCCCTAAAATATCTCATCTCTTCTTTGCTGATGATTTAACTCTTTTTGCAACAGCTAACCAATCAAGTTACAATACAATTATGAATACTCTTAATTCTTTCAATCTGACATTTGGGCAAAAGATCAATCTCACTAAGTCCAAAGTATGCTTCAGTGCTAACTGCCAACCTCATCAAATGGAGCTCATTTCAAACACCCTCTCCATAAAAGCCTCAATAAACTTTGGGAAGTATCTGGGGTTCCCGATTTTCCACAAAAGACCCACTCATAGTGACTTTCAGTTCATTATTGACAATCTCCACTCAAAAATGGCAGGTTGGAAGACAAGCATGCTTAACATGACTGGAAGGACCACTCTGGAAAAAGCATCCCTAAACTCAATCCCAAATCATGTCATGCAATACATCAAACTGCCAGCTAAAACAACCAAAGAGATTGATAAAGTTCAGAGGAACTTCATCTGGGGCACTACTGCTACTAAAAAGAAAATGCACCTGATATCTTGGACACAGTCACAAAGCCTAAGGATAAGGGGGGCTGGGAATCCAGAAAGCTGAATTGAAAAATAAAGCCCAGCACTCAGGCCTTGCTTGGAGGCTATACCAAAATCCCACAACTCTTTGGGCAAAAACTCTAATTGCAAAACACTGCAATTAGAGGAAACCTCCCAAATATCCAAGTCCCACACCTGGCAATGCATCCTAAAAGGATGGGAAACATGCATGCAAGCAAAAAGATGGGTAGTTCATTCAGGAAACAGAGTTAGCTTTTTTAATGACCCTTGGATAAACAACCTCCCTGCTATAAGGTCCCTAATTCATGGTCCTCTGACAAGGGAAGACATGTCCAAAACAGTTGCAAATGCTCACTAAAATAGAACTTGGGATCTCTCTACTTTCTCTCTCACCATCCCNAAGCTAATTGCATATAAATGCAATTATAGCCTATTTTACGATTAGTAGTGTTTTATAATTGCAAAATCAGTTCCAGTATTTTTTAGTTAATACATATGTATTATTTAATTGGTTCAGCATCTTTAATTTTTTTTTAAAATCATTTTCATTATTTTTTATAAAATAAAAGGGAAAACTGGCTATTTCAATTATAGCCCCAATTCATTTCAATTGTAGCCCCCACTACATTTCAATTTTAGCCTAAAACTGATCCAATTTCAAACCCAAAATCGGACCAGCCCAATCCCACTTAACCCAACCCAATAACCCATTTATCTAACCCGCCCGAATTACCTTTTAATCCAGGCCGTTGATCATTTTAATCAACGGTCCAGATCACCCATTTCCTTTTTTATAACCAGAGATTGTCCAACCACTTGGGCATCTCTCAAGAAAAAAGCTTACAACAACATCATTACTAGGGAAGAGCTTCTCCCTTTCTGCTTTTGGCAAATTTGGCTAACAAGGAATAACAACCTTTTCAATAACAGAAAAGATAGGGCAGACTCCAATTGTGCAATAGCTAAGGCCACTGAATATGTTACAATAATGCTGGATAAAGAACCCAAAAACAAAAAGAATATCTGGATAAAATGGGAGCCACCAAGCAACAACTCCTACAAGCTTAACACTGATGGAGCTGCAACAGGGAATCCGGGAAAGGGAGGGCTGGGGGGAGTCTTCAGAAATGCAAGTGAAAACTGGATACGGAGCTACATAGGCTCAATCCAATACACCACTAACACTCAAGCAGAACTACTAGCACTCCTAAAGACTGCAATTTACAGAAGAAAGACATTTCATACCTTTGGAAATAAACACCGATTCAACAGAGGTAATTAGAATGCTAATCAATGGAAACCTCCATTTTGACTCAATTATTCATGAATGCAGGTCAATCGTCCAAAGACTAGGCGCCGTGGTGGTAAAGCACAGCTATAGGGAGACCAACAAAGTTGCTGACATGCTAGCGAAGGAAGGGACAAGAAATTTTTTTTTGAAGATGTTTTTGTAACAACAGTTCCTCCGGTGTTTGTCAATCATGTATTTTGGGCAGACATCGCAGGAACTATGTTTGAAAGGAAAACAATGGATTGTAATATTGCTAACAATAGCATGCTAGAGAAGGGTATCATGTACCCACCCATAAACACTCTTTTTGTACATCCTAACGGGTAGTTTATTTTTAGTTATAATATGCACACGCTTAACAAAAAATGGTGTGAGGCTTTTTATCGTAAAAATAACACAGTATAGCCAATTTTCGGACTAGTCATTCAAAAATAGCCAACGTTTATGAAGTCAATGAAAAATAGCCACTATTCTGCTGCAACAGAGACCGATCCATCATAATATACTGGAGTTCGGTGCACCTGTGTATGAACTCCAGCATATTATGCTGGACCGGTATACTTTGCGACTCCAGTATAATATACTGGAGACTGGAACACTGGTGCTCCAAACTCCAGTATATTATACTAGACAATTATACTTGCTGGAACTCCAGTATATTATGCTGGTTCTAGTGTACTTATGCTGGAACTCCATCATATTATGCTGGAGTTCCAGCATACTTATCCTGGAACTCCAGTATAATATGTTGGAGTTCAAACATACTTATGCTAGAACTTCCAGTATAATATACTGGTGTATTTTCCGGGTTTTGAACAGTATTTTCGCTCAATTTTCTTTATATGAAAAGTGGCTAAATTTTGATTACTTTTGAAATTTGACTATTTTTGAACGATTAGTTGTAAATATGGCTATTTTTGAATTTCTTCCGAGGTTAGAGATGTGGATGAGAGGGAGAATTACTTTTCACATGTGAGGCACCAATGGCAGTGTCTTTTGGACTTCTCTAAATTTTCGCATTTCTCACCTTCCCTGTGTTCTTTTTGTTCTGTTCGCCTTCTTTCAACTTTTTTGATACAAGGTTGTCGGAGCCGTTGGCGTCGATGGTCAGCATAATGAACTTTGATAGGAGGCGTAGTACTGAATATGAGTGTATTAGGAGAAATCATAGACATGATGTTAGGGAAAATCAGTGTAGCTCTTCACTTGTAAAGCATATTAGAGCTCCTGTTCATCGTGTAAGTGATCCCAATTTAGTTTCTTGAATAAAGATTCGATTTTTATGTTTATTTAAGCTTTTCTTGTAAGCGCCCACCCCCCCAAATTCAGTTTCTTGACAGAAGATTTGATTTTTATGCTTATTTAAGCTTTTCTTGTAGACCCAAGTTAGTTTAGTGGAAAAAGACTTGATTTTTATGCAAATTTAAGCTTTTCTAACTCAGATCTATATGTGATTGACATGTTATTAAGAGTCCGATGGGTTTAATGTTTTGCTTTATAATTCATCTTGTAAGTGATCCCAACTTAGTTTCTTCATTAAAGATTTGATTTTTATGTTCATTTAAGCTTTTCTTGTAAATCCCCCCCCCCTCCCACCCCACCCCAATTCAGTTTCTTGACAAAAGATTTGATTTTTATGCTTATTTAAGCTTTTCTTGTAGACCCAATTTAGTTTATTGGAAAAAGACTTGATTTTTATGCAAATTTAAGCTTTTCTAACTCAGATCTATATGTGATTGGCATGTTATTAAGAGTCTGATGGGTTTAATTTTTTGCTTTATAAATGATTCATAGTGACTACCTCAACTTGTTTGGAATTGAGATGCAGTTGTTGTTTTAGTATGGGATACTTTTGAAGCTTTGTTTGAGTTGGTATTGTTTACAATTATATTTTCAGTTAGGATTTAGCTTAACATTGTAGACAAACAAGATAAGGAACTTTACTGCTAGAATGATGTACTAAAATTCTGATAGTTATTTTAGGTAACGTAGATTAAGGATTTCAGTTTTCACAAATAATTGTGCAACAACAACAACAACAACAACGACCCAGTAAAATCCCACGAGTGGGGTCTGGAGAGGGTAGTGTGTACGCAGACCTTACCTCTACCCCGCTGGGGTGGAGAAATAACTGTGCAACAGGGAAAAATGTTTTTCATATTTTTGGGGTGGTGAGTGGGGGTCTTCGTTATGGTCGCTACAGATCGATCACCTTCATCTTTATCTGTTGAGGAAGCTAGTTTTAGAGACAAATAATATGCTTTTGAACCCCATTATCCCCGAGTTTGGAAAATTATATGCTTTTGAACTTTCTTTGGACATAATGTATTTTAGGCTGTTTATCCGGTAGAAAATGCAGCGAGTTTGAAAGATTTCTAGATGTTTAATCATTTCATTGCCTAATTTCATTGATGTTCTTAATCTCAATTGTTTAGGCTTGTCAGGCAATTACTGGATAAGATCGAAGAATGCTTGACTGTTTTGGGTTTCAATGGTTACTTGTACTCTGTTTGAATGTAGATACTGGATGTACTGCATATATTTTTTCAGGGTGCTTACTGGGTATTGGTATATTTGATAGATTTGATCATTAGTGAGGAGGTTTGATCAGCCACAGAGATATAAACCATTTGTCAGCAGGTGCATCGTGCAATGGGACCTTGAAATTGGTAGTGTCAGAGAAGTGAATGTTAAGTCCGGACTCCCAGCTACCACAAGTAAGGAGAGATTAGAGCTTCTAAATGTCGAGGAACACATCTTTGGTGTAAAGATTGTGGGTGGAGATCACAGGCTCAGGGTATGAATATTTTATCTTCTCATTTGACATGTTAATCGGCTTGTTAGACTTAGATGCTTATTTTATGTGCGGGAAACCTTGTTAAACGGGGAAAAAATTATATGTGCTGTCAACTTTGTTGAGGTAATGTGTTTTGAGCTTCTAATTGAAGTTTCATTTTCCTAAAAGAAGGAATACAGAATCTGATGTCTTTCCAATGGTAGTAAACTATGCTGCTCCAGCCATCTCGCATCTTTGTGTTAATTCAATAAGTTTAACTATTTGTTCTTCATTGCTTTTTCCGCTTTGCAGAGGTGGGTGGTTCATGTTTTGGGTTTCTGTGAAAGACTTTAATGTTCTTAGATTCTTGTTATTTTTTTATAATCACTCCGTTACTTTCTAAAGCTTGAGAGACTTTCTGAACTTTTCTCAATAACCTGATCTTTAATATAACTTGTCTCCACTAAAAGGTCAAAAGCAACTCCAACAGTAATTTTTTTGAGTGTGTAAGATCGGAATCATTTCTTGAACATGAACAAAAGCTGTCACAATACATGTCTGGTGGCTTATATGCCATTGTTCAATTTGGAAAAGCTGAGAACTTTGTGGGTGATCTTTTAGCAGTGAACGCATTCGTAGGCTTTCTAGGTTTGAATATCACATAAAAGTTGTTTGTCGCCATTTTCTAGTTGAGAGGAGTAGGTACTCTGTGGTAGTAGTATCTAGAAACTGTGTGCTGTGTGGAAGTACCTTAGCTTGTTGAGATGTTCCATGACTCTTTTTTTTAATTAGGAAATGAACTTGCGCAGGCAGGGTAGCACTCCGTCTGTGGTAAGAAGAGTTCTTTTCTTTGCTTTGTATTAAACAAGTGTAGATGCAGATTTGCAATGAGAATATGGCATGTGATTTAGGATCATATAGCCAAATCAAGATTCACAACCTTTTTCAATCATCATATGTAGTCAGAAACTGAAAGCCCAATTGTTTGCTCTATGGAATAATGACGAGAAGCAAAGGACACCTGCTAATCCCCTCCGAGAGTCTACCATGAAGTCCCAACAACTGACCGCCCATATAGTCAATTAATTAAGCTTTCTGCTTATTTGTGACCTTTCTTGTGATCTTTTTGTTTGATTTTTTCTCGTGTTTTTTGTTTGTGTGTGTTAGCTGTTCACTTTTAATTATTAAGCCAATTTCAAATGTTCTGAGAATATATTGGGAAGTATAAACAAAAAAGATAGGAAGTTACCAAAGGCTTTGGAATAAATGGTATTTCATGTAGATGCCAGCTCAATACTTCTATCAATTCATAACTAATTCCTTTCTGACCTGCCTGCCTGCATTCATATGGATTACAAATCCGAGCCAAGGAATCATTGTAAATTCCTTTATATTAGTCTCGTTCTCTTCCCATTTGTGTGCGGTTGGAGTGGTTGTTCCTGCTGCTGCTTTTCTCCGCTTGGCTGTGCAAATTATGCCATAGTTTGTTTAAGTATCATTCTCAGTTCATCTTGTACGCTTCCCAACTTCAGTTTCTTTAAAAAAATTGATTTTTATGCTTATTTAAGCTTCTCTTGCTCAGATCTATATGTGATTGACATGTTATTGAGACTCTGATGGTTTTCTTATTTTGCTTTATAAATGATTTATACTGACGATCCCGACTTGTTTGAAACTGAGATGGTAATTGTTGTTGTAGTGTTTAATACTTTTGACTTCACTTGCTGTCGTCTACAATTGTATTTTCAGTTAGGATTTAGCTAAACATTCTAGACAAAGAATAAGGAACGTTATTGCTGGAATTGATATGTTTAAATCTTTATAGCTATTTAAATCTTGCTGGAATTGTATAGATTGGAATTCAGTTTTCACAAATAACTTGTGGATTAGGGTAAATGGGTTCTTGGTTTTGGTTGGGGTGGGGGGTGGTGGTGGTGGTTATGGTTGCTAGAAAGCGGGCACCCACATCTTTATCTGTTGAGAAAGCTAGTTTTAGAGAGAACTTATATGCTTTTGAACTTCTCTTTGGAGATTATGTAATTTAAGCTGTCTATCAGGTACAAAAAGCAATGAGTTTGAAAGAATTCAGGACATTTAATCGTTTCATTGTTTAATTTTATTAATTTTCTTAGTCTAACTGTTCAGCCTTGTCAACCGATCACTGGATAAGATTGAAGAATGCTCGGCTGTTTTGGGTTTCTATGGTTAACAAGTATACTATTTAAGCATGGATACTGGATGTACTGCATATGTTTTTTTTCTTCGGGTGCTTATTGTTTTTTGGTATATTTGATAGGTTTGGTATCAGTGAGGAGGTTTGACAAGCCACAAAGGTACAAACCTATGTTGCGCGGACTCTCCAAAATGCTGCCGGGTGCGCGTCGGATCCTCCAAAAATACACTACTTTTGGAGGATCCGACATGCACCCGGCAAAATTAGAGCAACATAGGTACAAACCATTTGTTAGCATGTGGATCGTGCAACTGGAACTCCCGGCTACCACAAGTAAGGAGAGATTAGAGCTTTTAGATGACTAGGAGCATATCTTTGGTGTAAAGATTGTCAGTGGAGATCACAGGCTTAGGGTATGAATCTTTTATCTTCTCATTTGATATGTTAGTTGATTGTTAGATGCTTATTTGTATGTGTTGGGTAACCTCGTTAAAAAAGAAGAAAAAAATTTATGTGCTGGCAACTTATTTTTATGCTCTTGGATTCTTTCTACTTTTATCTAATTACCCCAGGTACTATCTCAAGCTTGAGAATTGAGAGCTTTTTCAAACTTGTCTCAAGTTAAGAGTCTCATCTTTGAGTTAACTTGTCTCTGTTAAATGGTTCAGAACCACCCGTGATAGTTATTTTTTATTGAGTACATTAAATGAAAGAACTACTCATTTATGTCCCGCCTGTAAGTTACTTTGTCGTTGGCAACAGATTTACTTTTTTTTTTTTTATCTATTGAATATGAAATTGCTATATAATATTCCCTGGCCTAGCTGAAGCTGTTTGCTCTATGGAATGACGAGAAGCAAACACCTGCTAGGAATAAGGTCATAAGAGTGTTTCGGTAACTTTATCCTCTGAGAGTCTATCATGAGGTCGCTACAATTGCCTTCTATATAGTGTCACGATCCGGATTTTCCCACCCTCGGGGGTCATGTTGGCGCCTACTCGTAGAAGTTAGGCAAGCCATAAATCATAAACTCCTACCTACTTTATTTTAAATTCTTTTATCAATCATAACAAGCGTTAAATATTTAAATGACAGCGGAATATGAAATTAAAGCGGAAGACTTAAATTAAATAAGCTGAAAAATAATGCGGAATTCAACATGTGCCTCTACCCAAGAATTGATGTCACATCATCCACGGATTACTAAGAGTACTAAATACAATCGCTTGAAAGAAATATAACACTGTTCGTCTCGAAAACATGAGATAACAGAATAAAATATAAGATAGAGGAGACGCCGGGCCTGCGGACGCGTACAAGGCTACCTCGAAGTCTCGGTGGACCGAAGGCTGACTCCCGAGCTACTGCTGCTGTCCGGGGCCTAGATCTGTGCAAAAGAGCACAGAGTGTAGTATCAGCACAACAGACCACATGTGCTGGTAAGTGCCTAGCCTAATGTCGGCGAAGTAGTGACGAGGCTAGGACTAGACTACCAAGTAAACCTGTGCAGTTATATAATGTATAGCGGAAAGTAAAGCAGGAATGAACAAGTAAGGATGGGAGGGGGAAACATGTTGCGGGGAGATAACAGTTGAAACAGAATCTCAAGAGAATTATCAGGAAACCAAAATTCAACTTCTAACAAGGATAAGGAAAACAAAGGCAGGTTTCACTCTCGGTTCACAACTCGTTGCAGGCGTGCAACCCGACCCCATTTCATTATATCTCGTGGTAGGCGTACCACCCGCTCCCATTTCACTAAATCAACAGTTCTTCCAAATGAAATTTACTCCAACAAACGCAACAATTAATACGATTTCATAAGACAACAAGTACACAATAATTATGAATCACTGAGGAAAACAAGTAATGACAAGTAGCAATTAATTACGGACTTTAAGGAGCAAATAGGCAATTTAATATTTAGTATGCTAAATGTCAAGTAGCAATTAAGTCACATAAACATGTAGCAATTATAGCATAAATTCAAGGCATAATGTTGCGCAAGGATACCTCGAGCCAATAATAACAAGTGACACAATAAAGGAACATGCCAACATAAAGAATCACAGTAATAGTGGAATAAGACAATTAATGCACTTGAACCGATAACAACAAGAAAATCAGTAAATAAAAGTAAAGGACAACATAATTCAATTATCAGCAAGAATCAGGAAAATCAAAGACAAGTGCACGGCATCACCCTTCGTGCTTTTACTCTCGTCCTCACCAAACAATAATATAATGAAAACGTGCACGGCATCACCCTTCGTGCTTTTACTCTCTTTCCTCACCAAAGCAATTAGAATAATAAAATGTGCACGGCATCACCCTTCGTGCTTTTACTCTCATTCCTCACCAAAGCAATCAGAATAATAAAATGTGCACGGCATCACCCTTCGTGCTTTTACTCTCTTTCCTCACATATAATAAATAGAATTGGCACGAAATGGTACATCGTGCGGCACGGCATCACCCTTCGTGCTTTAACACTCTTCCTCACCCAAACAACAATCACAAACAAGGGCAAGGGAAATAAACAAGAACATATAGGAATCCCGGCAAGGGAACAACGATTTAACAATTAAATCCCGGCAAGGGAGCAATCAAGTAAATAATTAAATCTGTATTGGTCAGAATCTGTCCACACGACCACGGCGGCAATGATCCCGTCCCAACCATCCTGCAGTTGTAATCGACGAACTCGACTTCATCTAATCACTGCTATTTACGATATAAGCGTCGAGGTCGAGGCCTCTCCATGAGGGGAGGTCACCTCCCCGACCCGGCCCAAATAAAGTATGATGAGCACGAGAAGTTCTAGACTATAAATAGATGGCAGAAGAACCTCTTAAGGGGGGTGGGCTCTCCATGATCCACAAACCGTGGAAATAATGGAAGAACTCCATGAAAGAGAGACTGAGCCTATACAAAGAGAGGGAGATTCCACCTTCAACCGGGGAGGAAGAAATAATTTGATTGTAATCTCCTGAACCTCTTCAAGGAGATGCAGGCCAAATTTCTA